TTATGAATTTAATTTCTCCACCACGCATAAAGATGAATTCCCAAATAAGGTTGGGACGAATGTTGATTTTCTAACATTAGGAGGAGAGATGATTTTGACAGCTGAAAATTATGTGTGAGGTTAATTATGAATTATCTGGATCTTTGTTAAATAAATATGTGAACCTAAAGTTTAAGGGATAATTCATTTGCATAATGTTGCAAATCAATTGCCAGATGAATGTACTGACCCTATAATATAATTTCGCTGCAAATGCTCCAATGTGAAGTATTTGAAGGACAGAGTCTATGATACGTCAGAAGCGTAATAGACTAAGCAATTCCAAATATAAAATTCCTTAAAGAAGGAAGGAGCAAATAATCAATATAGTCATGACAATGAGACAAATGCTATAAAAGTGCACATTGACATAACACTTCATAAAACATCGGAAAAGGTTCAAGTACCTGAAAATAATGAAAAATGAAGAGATTTCAATAAGTTATGTCATATTGGTATCGATATCAAATTACCATCGATGGTATCTTTAATATGAGGTAGCACTCAATGATGATTATGGAGAGGATCTTGAATTTAAATCTGTCATATAGTGTGGACAGATAAATGGTTGACCAAGTAAAATGCAGAATTCAAGTATAGTTTGTTTCACTTTAAAAAGTGATGTTTTGGACTGATGGTCCATAAATCAAGGTATAATGTCAGTAGGGTACAAATAAATTATTATGCGATAGTACAACCGTAAGATATTAAGTATGACTTGTGCCTTGAAGCATAAATGTAAAAATCCTGACATTATTGAAGATGTTTTCTCCTATGATGAATGCAATGAGGTTTGTTTTGATCTGACAACATATGAAAAACTTGAATGCATATAGTGAATCATGTCTAGCTAGACAATAAAGGTTGTATAAAAATCCTTGAAACAATCGAGGTGTCTGAAACATATAAAAGTTTGAAGGAAACTTTTCAATAAAGCTTCAAGAATCCTTATATGGATTGAAATAATCAAGGAAGAAAGGGGTACAAAAGGAATGACCCTAATTGTCCTTGAATTTGTATGAAAAGTAAATTTTGCTGGCAAGATACAATTTCTCCCAACAAAAGGACATTGAAATGGTGTTGAGCACATACTTGAATATTCTCGAATGACCATAGTTATGAGTTTATTGTTTTCTCCTATGGTGAATGCAATGAGGTTTGTTTTGATCTGGCAACATATGAAAAACTTGAATGCATATAGTGAATCATGTCTAGCTAGACAATAAAGGTTGTATAAAAATCCTTGAAACAATCGAGGTGTCTGAAACATATAAAAGTTTGAAGGAAACTTTCAATAAAGCTTCAAGAATTCTTATATGGCTTGAAATAATCAAGGAAGAAAGGGGTACAAAAGGAATGACCCTAATTGTCCTTGAATTTGTATGAAAAGTAAATTTTGCTGGCAAGATACAATTTCTCCCAACAAAAGGACATTGAAATGGTGTTGAGCACATACTTGAATATTCTCGAATGACCATAGTTATGAGTTTATTCTATTCTGAGGAATTCAAGGAATAATTGATTGGTCACGCTGATGCAGAATATTTATCTGATTCGCATAAATCTTGATCTCAAGCACACTATTTGTTTGAATGTGGAGGCACAATAATATCTTCGCTATCAATGAAGAAAATGTATGTGATTTTTCTTTGAAAAAGAATTTATCAACCACAATGTGCGAAGATAATCAACTGCAAATGAAAGTGTCCACAAGATGATTATTGATGTGAACAAGTTAATATGCAATTTACTTGCAACAACGAGGTCGTGAAGAGTAGAATGATATTCAATAATATATTCGTCAAATCTCAAAGCCTCGTTATATTCATCAAATCAGAAAATTATTTATCAGGATGAGTTCAACGATGCAACATCTTCGAAAATGTGATTTGATCACAAAGACACTATCAATATCAATATTTGAGAAGCTGGAATACAAGATTAGAGACAACATTGCAAGAAATTAAGTGATGTTTTAATTAGGGTGAGTATAATACGCGTTGCACTCTTTTCCCTTGACCAATGTTTTGTCCTACTGGTTTTCTTGGTAAGGTTTTTAATGAGGCAACAAATAGTGTGTATCAAAAGATATGTGTACTCTTTTTCCTTCACTAAAAAATTTTTTCACGGGATTTTTCCTAGTAAGATTTTAACGAGGCACATTATTTATGGACATCCAAGGGGGAGTATTATAAATTCATTGTTTTATGTGGATGATCCATTAGAGTTATCAAACAATTAATTTGATTCATGTATAATTGTTTCCAAGGTGATAGACTTCCAAGGTGATAAGAACCTTAAGAGATAACTATGTATCTATGTGACCTTTGGGAGTGATATCTCGACACTATAAATAGAGTTATCACTCACCATTTGATACATACACTTGAATAGAAGAGAAGTTCTCTTCTTCATCCCTATGTCTTGTCTTCTTCTCTTTATATTTGTATTGCCATGAGCTTGATTATATAACAGTAGAGTATATTATTAAAAGGTAAACTAATAAAATGATCATGATTTTTTTAATGTAAAAAGAATATTGATCAATGGAGAGTAGTACTTTTTCAGCGCGCACTTATTTTTCAATCGAAATTATTTTAGGACTATGATTTTCCCTTTCACCTAATAATTTTTCGGAAAAAGGATCTGATATGCATCTCGTTATGAAAGTGGCTCATCTATATCCTTACCGTTATACAAACGGCTCACATATATCTCTATCGTTACAAAATGAGCTCGCACATATCCTTAATTTAATGGAAGGGAAAAAAAATAGTTTTCAATTTATATTTTGACTTTTATTTATATGAACTTCTAGCAAGGTTCAAGGATGTTTTAATTTTTTTATACATAAATTAATTTTTGACGTCTTTGAATATCATTATTTGAGTTTCATATTCTTATTTTATTATTTTCTTTCGTTCCTTAATTAGTGAAAAGAGAATTTTAAAACTAATTTTTTGTGACTATATTATAATTTAAAACTATTTTTTTTACTATTGTTATTTAATTTTTTGTATTTGAAAAAAAAATGGGTTATCTATGATAAATTTTATGAAAATTAGTGAAACATAAATAAATTTGAGCATCGAAATAATAATTTTAAATCATTGGTATAAAAAAATTTATGTATAAGGAGGATTAAATATACACCTATGAAATTGTATTTTTTTTTTTAAAAAAAAGATATTAAAAAGTTTAAAATTTACTTTTTGTTAGAGAAAAAGGATATTTATAATCAATAGTAG